CACGTAACACATGTATGTATAGCATATATGTTTGAAAAACTCAGTTGCTGAGGCAGCCTTTTCAATTGCTCCACTTGCCCCTGTGGTACAGTAACCCATTAAAAATAGAGTAGGATGATGAGAAACAAAGACAAAAACTACCCCTCTCTTCCCAGGCTTAACCTCACTCCTTCCTCCCAACTCTTCTACAGTCCCACCCCCTGGGTGGTGCAGGGGGATGGGGAATGGGGGTTGTGGTCAGATCATAACACGTCTCTGCCACTCCTTGCTCCTCATGCTGCTCCCCTGCTCCTGCATGGGGTCCCTCCCATGGAATACAGTCCTTCATGAACTGCTCGAACATGGGTCCTTCCCACAGGCTGCAGTTCCTCAAGAGGTGCTCCAGAGTGGGTCCCTTCCACAGGGTGCAGTCCTTCAGGAACGGACTGCTCCAGCATGGGTCCCCCATGGGTTGCAGTTCCTGCCAGAAGACCTGCTCCAGCATGAGATCCTCTCCAGAGACCACTGCATGGATATCTGCTCTACCATGGTCCTTCATGAACTGTACAGGAACAACTTGCGTCTTCCAAGATCTTCACCATGGGCTGCAGTGAAATTTGTGCTCTGGCACCTGGAGCACCTCCTCCCTCTTCTTCTTCACTGATCTTGGTGTCTGAAGAGCTGTTCTCTCACATTCACAACTGGTATGCAGCTTATTTTACCCTTTCTTAAATATGTTATCACAGGGGCACTACCAGCATCACAAATGGCCTCAGCTTTGGCCAGCAGTGGGTCCATTTTGGAACTGACTGAAAGTGGCTCTGTTCAACATGGGGACAACTCCTGGTGCCTTCTAACAGAAGGCACCCCTGCAGCCCACCTGCTACCAAAACCTTGTCATTTAAATCCAAGTCTCTTACTCTGAACTGGTCCTGAAATTGTATCTCTGCTCTGGATACCTGCTGGCCAAATACTGCAATTCTGTATCACAGAATGCCTATTTTAATTTTTAAAGTAGCCATCTTGCCCATATGGTTAAAAGCATTACAGGGAAGTGGTGGGATCATCTTGGCATAAAAAAAAATATTTTCCCCTGCCCAGCAATATATCTATTGCCCTTAAAAGTCTCTATATTGGACAATAATTCTCTATTTTGTTTTTGTAATGTAAATAGATCATTCCACATCCATAGCAATGAGAATCCTCAGTTCTACATGTTCTAGAGTGGCACTGCTTCAGCCAGGAATACGGTTTTTTTGGGTTCTTCAGCTTAGATCTCTGTCTGACTCTATTCACCTTTGCTCTGCTCAGGTGGAAACTGGTGTATATTAATGACCCAGGTATGACTGAAGTTTTTGAGAGGCATAATATACAGCCTGCACTTACCTTCTGGCTGCTGCTGTTAAAATGTCAACAGTGCCTCAGCTACCGTTGAGTTTATAGTGGCCTTGAGGTATGCCTACATTTTCCTTTCTCACATTGAGGACTGCAGTTACAATGCAATTGAGCCAAGCTCCTAGAAATACAGTGTAAACATCAGCCTCGGTGCTGATCTCTTCTCATGAGGCTCATTCTGCAAAAAATGTTACAACCATTTACTATGTGCAGCTAATTTTTTAGCTATAATTCAGGTGGTTCCTCACTTGAGAGTTATCCACGATGTAACAGTGTCACCATATAGGTGTATGAAGACCAGAATACAGAATACAGAAGCTAGTTATACGGGTTTAAACAGCCAAACCCGAACTTTGCAACTTGCTCCTTATATTTAAAATTGCTTACTCGTCCACTTTCCGACAAAGCTTCCATTTCCATCTTCAGTTTGGCCACAAGATGGCAATAACTTGCAGACAAAAATGCTGAAACAGCCAGACAGCGCTTTGACACTGCCTCCCTGAGCTTTTCCCTGCACTCTCCCCTCCTCTTTTGTTTCAATATTTAATTGCTTTTATTTTGGAATTACTAGGCAACCCACCTCCAGATGTGTAATTTAAAGGCGATGTGCTTGCAGTGAGATTTTCAGGATCGGCTCAGCAGAGCACCATCATGTGATACTGGGATAAGGTGGAGTTCAGCTTTAAAGGGGAGTCTCCAGCCTCCTCACCAATCTTTAGGATCTCAGCTGAAGGAATACCAGAGGATCCTTTCCCCACTCCTTTTTCTCCATTCAGCCTCTTGAGCCAGACCCTAGCACATCAAAGACGGGCAGAAGAGTTGCAAGGTGAGTTTCCTCCGCGGTTGCTTTCTGTCACTGTGGGTGGTTATGTGCCTGTTAGACTTGTATTTGCTTGCTCCCTTAGGTGCAGAAAACAAAATCCCAGGGAAAGGTAGGCTCCAGGTTGGACTTGCGAGTGGTTAGGTGAACCATTAGCTTGAGCTGACAGTGTTTTGTGCTTCATTTTGAAGAGCTCAAATAGTTTAACATTGCATTTCCAGTCACCTCATAGCACATTATTTCACCCTTTTTGTCTGTTGGTGCTAAACTTTTGACCACAATCCTCCCGGAGAGTTGCAGAGATGTGTGTGGTGGGGAAGACAGTGCAATCACCTGGAGTGGTCTGCAAAGCTGGGGGCTTTCCCCACCCCACACCAGCACTCAGGATGGGGAGGGATCTCCTTCCCGGCTTGGGAGCTGGTGGTAGAGGTGACAGGGAATAGTGCAGCTGTCCAGGAGATTCAACTTCATCCCCTCCTGATATCTGGTCCATTCTGGAGAGGTGGACAGGGAAGAAGGACTCCTTGTCACTTGCCAGCAGTGCTATGTTTCTGAGCTGTTTCCCAACCATGCTCTTGGATTGTGTCTCTGCTATGTGTAGAGGTGAGAGAAGAAGGAACAGTGGCATTTTCTGGTTTTGAGTTTGATAGTTATTAAATAAGCAAGAGCAGAGCTTGGCTAAGGGAGTAGAAAAAACAAGATCCTGAAACCTAGACCACCTCATTGCTGGGTGCAGTTTGGTCCCAGCTGGTGAGAAAATCTGTGCAGTTCTCTTCTTGCAGGACATGGCTTCTTGCCGACTCTGGTCCTACCATCATTCCTTCAAGTGCCAGGGCTGGATTTCCCACCTTGATCTGTACGAGTGACAGTGGAGATCATGACTAAATCCAGACACTGACTTTCAGGATAGGCTAAAGACATACTGTTGGAAATTGAGGAGTCCTGACTCTGCATGCGCTTGCCTTTTGGGTGAAGCACCTACTCCTGGCTCTGGCTGAATTGATGCTTCAAGAGGCCCTTGGGTGTGGGAGGTTCTTTATTGGACCCTAAACCAGACTATGTGGACTAAGGAGACCTGATAAATTTAGTTAGCAGAGGCAGCAGGTCTGAGAGATAATGTCCAGGTACATGCCTAGGTAACTTGAAAATCAGAGTAGCCAAACCTCAGGCAGAGGTTTCAGTGCTTTTCTCTGAAGTCACTGATGTTAACTTTTACAGTAAAATGTCACTCAGAGTCAAGCTACATCACCTGTCATGGTTTCATGTAGCCATTATTAGCCAGTGGTGTAGCCAGTGGTGATTATAAAGAGCCAGCAGAGCCAGCTGAAGTGAAGCTTGTGGTGCTGGTGAGAAGACGTGATGTTGGCATGATCATCCTTTTGCTGGCCTTCAGGAGGAGCAGGAGCTGCAAGCCCAGCCCTCACATGCTGTCTCTGCCCCAGTGCGGAGGCAGGCCCAGCTCCGGTTCCCAGCACGTGGCTGGTTAAAAGGGTGTCTGCCACCATTAACAAAGGTGATTCTACTTTGGAGACTTAGGTGGCACTGAGATTTATATCAGGTATCATTTAAGACCAAAAGCTCACCTGTGGAGGGCAACTTTTAATGAAGTACATTTTAGTGGGCAATGTTCTTACAGCTTTTATGGAAAGTGTCATATGGAGCTGGATTTGAAACCCACTTGTGTTAATTTTAAGTGGCATTACTTTTATTATCATAACCTAAGGTTAAGTGAGCAATGAATTTTGCTTATGAGAGAGTGGGCAGAGGGAAAGTTCCAGATTCAGTGCAGCTGCCAGTGAATTGGAGTAAAGGTGTGTCAGGTTATGTGATTGCTTTTTTGTTTGATTTATTTTCTTTTTTCCTCCTGAACTACCATGCCTGACTTTCTCTGATTTTTAAAATCCAAGGCCTTGCAAAGGGGCTTTTTTAGGCTTGCCTATTTCTGTTTCTCAAGTAGAGAAAATTTCTGCAGTGTTTTAATTTTTGCTTTTTTTGGGGTTGTTTTTCATCTTGTTTTGTTATTTTGTTGTTGTTGTTGTTGCACAGCCCTGCTAGCAGAGATTAAGATGTTCAGAGATCCTGATTTGCCTTTGACTCAGTGCTAGTGCAGCTGTGGGCACCTGACCTCTCAACATCAAGTGTATGTATTAACTAAAAAAGCATGTAGTGATTTTTGGAGTATTGTTTCTGCCCCTCAGATCAGTCAAATGGGTTTTTCTTCCCTCCTCATGCAATGGCTGGATATAATTCCACTTAGAGCAACTTGAGAAAGCAGACCTTTGCAGATTAAACTTGTAAAAAAGGAGATGTAAAACGTCGAGTATGCTCTTGGAAGACTGAAGCTGCTTCTCAGTTCGTTATTCCTTGCAACTTGTGCCGGAGGGAAAGTTCCAGGAAAGGGTCGCGCCCTGGGCTTGCAGACCTGCATTTTAGTCCTGCCTTCTGCCTTTCTTCCCCGGGACTGCAGCCCCCGCTCAGGCTCGGACCAGAAGCTGCCACCGCCGTCCTTCCGTGGGGTTTCCCCGGCCGCGGTCGGAACGGATAGGCGAGCTCGGGGCGGCTGCGCTCCCCCGGCTGGCGGGGGAGGCGGGCGTGGGGGATAACCAGGGCGGACGACGTGCCCGGGGTGACCGGCCCTGCTTCTTGCCTTCTCCCCAGGTGGTGCGAGGGAGATGCAGCACCGAGGAGTGGGCTCGGCCCAGGATCTCCGGAGGGGCTGATGAGCGCGTTTTGAACTCCGGGAGCAGTCTGGATGAAAGTGGTGGCGTCGGCGTCTGTCAACGTTGTACAGCGAGGTGGAAACAACATGAATGCTTCGGTTATTGCCCCCCTGGGAAATATTTCCGGTTACCTGAATTTTTCAGAGAAGAACTCACAGATTTTGCAGTTTGAGGATGAGGATTGCCATGTGCCTTTGGCCATGGTTTTCACTTTGGCCTTGGCTTACGGGACTGTGATAATTCTGGGAGTCTCTGGGAATCTGGCCTTGATTGTCATAATTTTAAAACAAAAGGAGATGCGCAATGTTACCAACATCCTCATTGTCAACCTGTCCTTTTCTGATCTTCTAGTCACCATCATGTGTCTTCCATTTACCTTTGTGTATACTTTAATGGACCACTGGATTTTTGGAGAGGCCATGTGCAAATTGAATCCTTTCGTGCAATGTGCCTCAATCACTGTCTCAGTCTTTTCTTTAGTCCTCATTGCTATTGAACGCCATCAGCTAATCATCAATCCCCGTGGCTGGAGGCCAAACAACAGACATGCCTACATGGGGATTGCTGCCATATGGATTTTAGCCACAGCTTCCTCTTTGCCTTTTCTGATCTACCATGTGTTAACAGATGAACCCTTCAGAAACATAACATTTGATGAATATAAGGACAAATATGTGTGTTTGGACCTGTTCCCCTTGGACACTGCCAGGCTTTCTTATACCACAACGCTTTTGGTGATTCAGTACTTAGGACCGCTTTGTTTTATATTTATTTGCTACTTAAAGGTAAGAGAGAATCCCCTTGCGATATGCACTTCTTTCCATCTAATATTAGTTTATTCTTGCAGAGATGATGGTTGTAGGTGAAATAATCCTTCATGTTTCTCTGTTGAATTTCCTGCAGATATACATGCGATTAAAAAAAAGGAACAACATGATGGACAAGATAAGAGACAGTAAGTACAGATCCTCTGAAACCAAAAGGATCAACATCATGCTGATCTCAATAGTAGTCGCATTTGCAGTTTGCTGGCTACCTCTCACCATCTTCAATATTGTGTTTGATTGGAACCATGAAATTCTGCCTGCTGCTACCTGCAGCCACAACCTGTTGTTCCTGATTTGCCACCTCACTGCCATGATCTCTACCTGCGTGAACCCCATCTTCTATGGATTTCTCAATAAGAACTTCCAAAGGGACCTGCAGTTTTTATTTCATTTTTGTCATATCCGCTCCCATGAGGAGGATTATGAAACTATAGCCATGTCCACAATGCATACAGATGTTTCAAAAACCTCTTTAAAGCAAGCAAGTCCAGTTACATTTAAAAAATTAAATAGCGATGATGATGACAAAATATAAAGAAGTAATAAAAATTCTACACTAAACTGCTGGAAGTGTGATCATAGGTGAAACGTGTCCAAGGACAAGCACAATTACATAAGAAATACAAAATGGGTAATGTTTTCCTTCTTTTTCCAAGGAACTTCGATTGTTGTCACTTTGAAATTATACACTGTGCATTTTTGCACCTTTTACTGCTTTAATGTTCGCAGCAGTTACATCTGAATCTTATTATAAGGCATAGTTGGACCTGCTACTACCTATGGTTTTCGTCAGCTGTCTTTTGTTCTGTTTTCTTTGTACAGTTATGTGCTTTAGCACAAAGATATATTTGTTGATTTTTTCAAAGAAGTACTTTTCAGGAGTGTCCATCTAAGACCATCAGAAACAACATGAACCACAGGGAAGCTGTCATGACAGAGGATACCCATCCCAGCATAAAATTAGGACATTCTGATTTCAAGAGTCCTATTTTCTTTTTTTCTCTTTTAAATCCAGATTTTGATCAATGTTAAAATTCTGTAAGATAGTTGTAGGCACACAGAAAACGATTCTGTGAAACCTGTAGGATGTGTTAAATGGAGACATACATTTGTCTCATTCACAGAGGCAAATCACGCTGTAATCACTTAGGTTCAATGGTAGGATTAAGAGAGAAATTCTGTTCTCATTTATGAGAATAAAATCCTACAGTAATTCCACAGAGCACAATGGGATAACTCTGATGTTTCACCACAGCAAATGAAAGCACAAATGGACCTTCAGCCTCAACTGATTATGCCTTATTTTAATAATACAAGCTTTTTAATTTAAAATTCCAAAGCCCGTTTTCATCTGCCATCACTGACAGGTGTTAGTGTTGCTGGAATGAAATGTGCTGTCTATCCCAAACCTATGAACAATGTAAATTCTTCTTGAGTTATATGTGGAATCTAAAGAGAGATGGGATTGTTTACTGTTTGTTCAAGGTGCAATTCCATCCCCACAGGTGACAGTGAAAATCAGGTCTGGTATTAAAAAAATAAGCTTTAGCTACCTGACTATTTTCATAATAATTAGTGCTGATCTATATAAATTATGTAGAGCCTTGTAATATTCTGTGTTCAGATGCAATGGTATAAATCTGGATTTTCTCCAAGAAAATGGATGGTTTAATCAAGATCTGCAAAATTTAAAAGGAGGATTTGCATATAGTTTGGGTGTAATTGGTACGTTTAGCTTTCAAACTCAGTTTCCACAGTTAGTTGAAGTGCAGAAATATTTGCCAAATATACATGATAGAGTTCTGTGTGTTATTGCTTAAAGCATATATATCCTCTAATTACTCAAAATATACATGACTAGGTCCCCAGTTGAGAGAAACCTGCATAACTTGACTGCTGTAAATGAAACTACATCGATATCAGCCAGCTGAGGTTCTGTGTCATACAGTGTATTTTGCTGTATAATCAATGCCTTTTTGAATAATCAGCTTTTTAAAATACAATATAGACTCTATTTTCTTTTAGCAAGGTCACTTTAAACCATTCTGGCAGAGAAGTGTGCCTTTGAAATGGATATACATGTAAATGTAGCATAAATGGAAATCTAACCTGCTATCTTTCTGATCTCAGGATCAGAAAAAGATCTCAGGATGTGATGGTGAATTTAATATATCCTAAATTTTTCATGGATAAATGCCTAAGAAGTGAAAATTATTTGGTTTGCCAATATTTAAAAGTGAAAAACTGTGCCTTGTGCTGTTTTATAAATAGTGTAGTATATTAAAATAGCAATGTGTTCTTGTGCATTATAATTCCATGTATTTCTCTACTGGTAGATAATTTAATTTAAAAGGATGTTTCTGTGGCTGAGAACAGAAAGGGAATGTAGAATATGAATTATAAGACAGAACTTTCTTTCAGAATTTTGCCCTTTTGTATTTTATTAGATTTCCTGTTTCTCTGTGATTCTCTGTGGAGTGTGTTGGTAATAATAAGACAAGAGTCTCCTGAAATTGTTCTCCTGTCACTTTACAATGATTTTCATGTGATAAAGGGTGTGTATTTTCACAAAGAGATACAATGTAAAATTCCAGCCATGTTTTTCTATTAAGAATGTCACAGTGGATTTTTTCATAAGAAAAAAAAAATCAGTGTATTTTATGTTTTTTTTTTTCCCATTTTTGAAAAAAGCACTTTCCTCAAATCCAGTGGGAGAAGAAAACAGAATTATTTGAGAAAGTTTCCAGTTAGTTTGCTGGAAAATTTTGATCAGACTGAATTAGATGTTTATCCTGAGTGGGTGTTAGAGGAACCTCAGAGGAACTTCCTGGTGCAGAGACCTAAAACTGGTGTGTCCTAAGATTCAGAGGTGTCCAGTGCAATAGCCACATAATTGCTCCTCTATCAACCTTTCTCCTGCTTGAGGTACTATCTCAAATCATACAACCTGTCTAATACCATCTCATACTGTCTCCTGAAAATGCATCAGGTGTTTTTTGCCTACCAACACCTGATACTCAAGGTGAAGTGTAGGTAGGAGCATTCCTTCAGCTCATCTGTGTTAAGCTCAGAAGCCATTTTTCCACTGGACTGCTGTCCTAGGATCAGGCTTCTCATATGTTTTCTCACCTGCCTGCAAGAAGCCTTTCTGAGCCTCTGCTACGGGTGCAGGCTAGCACATCGTCATATGAATAGCACAGTGGAAATGAACACAGTGTAAAGCGTTCAACAGGAAAATGCATTTGGAGAATTTCAGGAGTAAAACCATTGCTCTTCTGAAAAATCTGTTAGGAGGACAAAGATAAAAGTAAACTCTCTGAGGTGTTGACTTGACATCTGCAGGGTGTAGATGACAGATGACATCTACTGAGAGCAGTATTTTTGTCTTCAGTTTCACGACCTGACACTGGACTCCTCAAAAGCTGATGGAGACTTTCCCCTCTTAACATCTGGCTACAACACATCCTCTTTTTTACTTTCAGAGCTCCAGCATGGCTTCTCATCCTCTGTATGCTAAATTTCTTTACAGGGTAAGCTGTTGGATTTCATGAGTCTCTATCATTTCTTAGTCATTCTGGTTTGATATTTGTTCCTCGTATGTGCTGTTTTGTCACTCCCCACACTTCAGCACATGCTGATACCTATCTTTCAGACTGGTAGAGAAGTTTTACTGATAGAGAAACAGAACAGTGAGGGATCTTTAAGGTATCTTACTATTTATGTGCAATACATTTCATGTCAAATCTACAGCCTTAAATGACAACTGTACCTATTTAATAAACATTAATATCTACTTCGTCAGTTATTTTATCATATTAAACTTCACATTTATCCACCACAGACATTTAAAGCTTCTGCATAATCTAAATACACCAGCATATTTGTATGTCATCTTAATAAATACTTCTGTATTCTCATATTGCTTTTTTTTCAACATCTCTTGGTTGTGTCATTGTTGCTATGTACGGTAATCCACAACTTTCACATCTTTGTTAAAGTAAGCAAATAAAGGAAACAATTAATTGACAATAATACCTGCTTTTGGTAGGCTAGGAAAAAGTTGGATATTTGAAAAAAATTAAAATCAACCCTGTTTTTTCCACCTCATAAATAAATCAGATTTAAACCAGGAAAAGAAAATGAGATGACAGGACCTCCTAGGTCACTTGAGCTGATGCTGACTGCATCTTATCACTGATAAAGGAGTGAAGGGCTAAGGGTTCATATAGTCTAACCAGCTATTATTAATAGATCCTAAAAGCAAAATTTCATATTGATTCATATTCAAAATGTAGATCAGCTTATGCTTAAATCCAGGCCTGACGTCATGAAAATGTTCTCAGATCAATGAAACTAGAGAATTTACTTAAAGTTAATAATTTGCCTCTACTGAATAAAAGTGCACTGCTGGCTGGCAGCTCATACTCTTTTCCAAAAATCAGATTTTGCATTGCAGGTTATTACAGAAAGAAACTAATGTCATATAATTTTTCTCTCGATTTTTCTCTGGATTTTCTCTGGAGTCCAGTGTCTGACAGTGCTTCAGGTTGATGTTTTGCTTCCTAATTTAAATTTCTAATATCAAAAAATTTACCAAGGCAGTGCATAAAGAATTAAGACAATAAGTAAACTTTTTTTTTCTGTTCTTATTTTTTAATCATACATAAGAGTAGGAAACATGAGCTTAAATAATACCTCTGTCTGCAACATATTAGATTCATTCAGCGGAGTAGAAAGGGTGGAGAAAAAATAACTATAACCAAATGATAAGTTTTGTTAACAGCCATTTCTCAACTGAAGAATATATACAGCACCAAGCTCTACCACGCCCTCCTAATTCCTATGTTCTTTAATAAGTGGTATTTGCTTCCCTGAGTCATTACTAAATATCCCAGTCATTACTAAGGCTGATGTGAAAGAAGATTCTTTATTCTAGCCCTGTTTTGCAGAATTTCAAATGTTTGAGGTAAGAGGAAAAAATATGATCACCTTTAGTCTCTTAAACTTCAATTAACCTGTGGTCAGAAATAACTTCAATTTTTCTGCACCTGTAAAACAGTATTAATGGTCTAATTGAAGCTGATATTTCAAATATTAGGGAGGCCATTCACAAAGACTAACTTCAGCTGGAGGATGGCAGTTTTCCTAGCTTGCTCTAGTGGGAACCCGAGGGCACTCACACCTGCTCTATTCTAGGTGCTACACATCTACCAAAATGTCTTTCTGTCCATTATCTATACAGGCTGCTTTCAGGGCCTGCTTTCAGGGCCAGAATCAGGCCTAGTGACTACGGCCTCCCTTTCTCCATCTTCCGTGGTGCTCCTGCGACTACTTCATACTTCATACACTCGGCAGCTGGTTTCTGAGGAAGTCATAGGAACTCGTACTCTGATTTTGTAAAGTGCCTGAGTATATGGTAAAATTCAACTTTATTCAGGACAGTGCTTTAGATAGTTTCTTTCATTAAAATTATCTTCTTGCAAGTTTCTGGTAGGCAAGTTTCTCAAAATTTGCACTCCATAGAAGTACATAATT